CATACTCTCCCTGGTAGGGAAGAAAATACACCACAAAGTCGGGCATGGTGGCACATGGCCCAGCACTCCAGAAACAAAGACGGGAGGGTTGAGAGTTCGAGACCAGTCAGGACTCAAACAGCAAGTTCCAAAGCAAGCTGAGCCACCTACTGGATACAAGGCCCTGGATTTGATTCTCTGAACTGCAAAATAAATAAACAGCATGGATGTTTTAAAGGGTTCCTTTCGTATTTTTAAAACAGAGTCTCTCTATGTGGCTCTGATTGCCCTAGAACTAGCTATATAGACCAGCTATCTCAAACTCACAGATTCCACCTGCCTATGAGTTTGAAGCATGTGATTTTATGTGTATGTTTGTGGGTATGAGTGTGTGAGTATAAATGCTCTTGAAGATGGAGTAAGGTGCCCTGGTTGCAGTTATGGATGGTTGTAAGCTGCCAGACTTGGATACAGACATGTGACCTCTGCAAAAGCAATAGGTGCTCTTAACTGCTAAACCTTCTCTCCAGCCCGTTCTTCCATTTAAAAGATTTTTTAAACAGAGCAACACAGAGACACAGATTAGAGAAGACTGAAGTACTTTTATGCCATAATGCAATAGTCAGGATTCGGTTAAGTGGTGGAGAGCTTCCTAGGTACCATTCCCAGAGGGGTCAAAGAACACTTTGTGCACACCTCAGTCTGGCCATGTTTAGGAACTTCTGTGGTGGTAGAGAGCTCTTCCAGCAGAAAGCTGCAGGCATAACCTGGGCACACCTTCTCTCTGGCAGCCCCCGCTGGCACAGCTGACCTAGAAATGACTGCTCCTTCCTCCTCCATCTTCCTTGTCCCATCCCGAGCCACTTCCAGGTCCTCTGTCATTTCATCTTTTGTCTGGTTCAAATATAATCTTCTTTTATTTCCCCGAACTTTTGACCTCTGCCAGCATCCTTTTACCTCTGGTCTTTGGCAACCTGCCTCAGTGTGTTTTATCTGCCCTTGGTCACACTGAAATCTTTGCCTAGGGACAAGTGGAGTGACTAGTTTTCACTGATTCTTGGCCATAGCTGGGCTACTGTCTTCCTTTATTTACAAATCTCCCTCTAGGGCCAGTGAGCTGGCTCAGCCAGTAAGAGCACTTGCAGCAGAAGCCTAAGTTCAATTCCTAGAACTCATATAAAGGTGATAGAAGAGAAAGGGCTCTATCAAACTCCTCCCACCGCTGTACCCGAGGCTCATTCCCTTAGCTGACACTGCAGCCCCTTCAGTACTGAACCACACAGTCCTGGCCATTTGCTTTCTCATTTAAGATGTAAATCGGTCATTTCCTGTCCAACTCAATGGGGTGCAATTGTGAAATTAAGAGATCCCCACTTTTATCCTCCAATTTGAACGTATGTCAGGAATTTTCCAATTCTGCCATCTAACAATGTACCTTTTCTAGGAAATCTAAATTTCATAGTGTGTCTTTGGGGATTAGGGTCAAGATTTTGTCCTCACAAAATTCCTGTTGTAGAATATTTTTCAGATGACAAAATATCCATTTTAAGTGGCCAATGACCTGTTTTCATCAGATCAGCCAACAACTTGTATTTCATTCAGGTGAGTTTTCCTTTTTTTATCTTTGGGGAAATTAATAATAATAACAACAATAACAGTATCACATGAAGCCTTGGCACATCTCAATAAATATCATTTTTCCTTCTTTTCTCACATCTCATGTCATCCTAACTATCCTCCGCACTTTACTGTTTTATAGTTTATTATTTTGTCTCTAGTCTGTGACTCATTAGAAAAACATTATCCCCTGATCCCTTCTGCAAACATAAAAATCTGTCACTTATCTAGTCAACAGGCACCTGGAGCAGGGACTGGAAAGAAATGGAAGAGTTTGTGTGTCAAACGCATAGAAAAACACAAATTTATTTAGTGCATTATAAGAGCACACAGGCAAGGGCAGTAATAGAAGCAACCATCCACCATGGATAGTGAGGTCCCATCATGCAATGCTTGCCATGCAAATGAGGGCAGCCCTGACTGGTTGTTGTTTTTCTTCCTGCAGGTAGGTTTACAGACAGAAAGAAGCTCTGATGTACCTAAGATGGTGGTTTTCCTGGGGGGGGGGGGGGGGAATGTATGACTACCACTGACTAATATATTTTGGAATAGTTAGTTTTATCTTTCAACGGAAGAAAAGGTAGAAAGAGACAAAGGGGACGAAACTGCAAAGCCAGATCAGATTACACTGGATCTGTAAGTGTCAAACGCATACTTTTCCCTCCTTGCTGATGAGACCAGAAATCAGATACCTCAGGCAAGGTTTCGGAGTTTGAGGGAAACCTGGCTTTCTGCCTTCAGAGTTATGTCACTTTCCACCACCCTAACCAAAGCAATTGCTAGTGTCTTCAATATCAACTTACGGAGTGCCTAAAGCACTGTTTCCCTCCTGCCAAACAGCTCTTTCCTTGCAGTCTATGCCTGAGCTGGTCCTTTAGAAGCAAGCAATTCTGATTTTTATAATTAACTTTTAATTTGTTTCTAAGGGACTCCAAGGGCTCATGATCCAAAACTGTTGCCATAGGACTTAAAAGGGGTTGTCCAGTTTTGTTTTGTCTTTGAAACAACCAAGGGACAATTAAGATTAAAGGATATGTACATAAGGCTTCTAAGATTCCCAGAATTGGAGTGGTTTTAAACTCAGAGCAAGTCGGCAGATGACAGTCAGGGTAAGTCTGCTAGCAGCAATAGAAAGACCTGCAGAGGGCATGGCCCCTCACGCCCTGACTCAGAAAAGGTGGCCCCCACAAATCACTCACGAGAAGTGGTCTTGATGCAAAAGCATGAGGTCTTTTATATATATTCTTTCGCTAGGGTTTCTGGGTAGTGTGACAAGCCCATGCTTAGCCCAGGAAGTCTGCGTTCGCTAGGGCTCCTGGGTAGTGTGGCATGCCTCATTTTCTGTTCTCATTCACTCATAGGTGCTGTCCGTAAACCTGCCCTGTTGTAAACAGTCAAGAATGACCTTTTGCCTACTCACTGGTAGGGGGCAGAGTCTAGGGAGAATTAGGCTAAATTTTTCCATCCTTACACAATCAAAGCCTGCTGTCCAACACAACATGGGGAGGCCTAGGTAACCCTGGCCCTTTAAACTTAACATTGTCATGGATGGCGTGGACATAGGAAGCAATAAGACTGAATAGTAAGGACCAGAAGGAGAGGTGTTCCTTTGATGGTAAAGTGCTTGCCTAGCATGTCCAAGACCCTGGGTTTGATCCTTAGCACTGCTAAATAAAGAAATTAAAATGAGATTATTATCATCATCAGTCCAGGGTTCCAGACTTCACTGCTCTGCCAGGAGCTGACTTGAGCATGTCTAGAACAAAGGACAGCCAGGCTGCTAGTGGTGACACCTTTAATCCCAGCACTGGGGAGGCAGAGGCAGGCAATCACTGTGTTTGAGGCCAGCCAGCCTGCTCTACAAAATAAATTCCAGGACAGCCAGGGCCACTCAGAGAAACTGTGTCTTGAAAACCGAGAAAGAGAGAGAGAGAGAGAGAGAGAGAGTGAGAGAGAGAGAGGAGGGAGAGAGAGGGGGGGGAGAGAGAGAGCAGAGAGCAGAGGACTGTATTAAGGAATGTGACCACAGCAGGGCCCCAGGAAAAGGGAATAACATGAACACTTGAACAGCAGGGGAAACCCAACATCGTCTCCATTTTGGACAGGAAAATTTGAGCTGAGTTGAATCTTAAACACTGGCCCAATATTATTATTAGTAATAATAATAATAATAATAATAATAGACAAATAGGGCATTGAGCAAACACAAATCTTGTATGCTTTAAAGGAAGATACCCCCCAAAAAAATGTAAAGATAGCTCATCAAAAGGGGAAAATATCTGAAAATCATATATACCATGTAAGTGCAGTGTCCAGGACACATGAAAGAAATTCTTACTACCCAACTCTAAGAAGTCAATTAATAATTTTTTAAAAATAGGCAGAGGGAGAGATGCCAGAGCAGTTAAGACCACTGATTGCTTTTCCTCAAGACCAGGGTTCAATTCCCAGCTTCCCCATGGCAGCTAACAACTGTAACTCTAGTCCCAGTGAGTTTGACACCTTCTTCTGGCCTACATTTATTCAAGTGGCATCCAAACATATATGCAGGCAAAACACTCATACACATAAAATAAAACCTTGAAAAAAATTTTAAATATCATTTCTCCAAAAAAGATACACAAATGGCCAATAGGCCCATGACAGAGCTTAGCATCATTAGTTAGTAGAAAAATGCAAATTAAAGCCACAGCAAGGCCCACTTCACTCCTACTAAAGGCTAGAATAAAAACCATAGACCATAACAACTGCTGCTGAGGTGTTGTGAGGAGTATGATTTTCCTCCCACCGCTGGTCTTGTCCCGCCGCTGCCAGCCCCAAATAACACACTGAGACTCTGTATTTGATATAATGCTGTTGGCCAGGTACTAGTTTCTTATTGGCTAGCTCTGTCTTAAGTATTAACTCATTTCTGTTAATCTATGTATTTCCACGTGGTCTCATCTTAGCGGGGAATAGGGCCGGTGTCTGGTGTCCCCAGTCTCTCCATCTTGACTCCTCCTTCCTCCTTCCTCTTTCCTCCTTGTCTCCTACTCCCACCTATCTTGCTTTCCTATTGGCCAACAGTGCTTTATTCATTAACCAGTATGAGAAACATATTTACAGAATGACATCATCTCCTCTTTTCTGTTTTTACCTTAACATAGGAAATTATATAACACAACAGTTATCAAATAAGTATCACAGTTAACAATATTTAGTCCATTAACATTTAGTAAGACTTAAAGAAAATATTCTATCATCTATACTCTCTTTGTGAGTCTAAAGTCTTATATGTGACTTATCTTTAATCCTAACTAAGGAAAACTATAACCATAACTATCTGTCTTCAACTCCTTCAAAGACCACAGAAGGATAGTATATAAACTCTAGAAATGACAGAGACATCTTGCCTGATCAGTCACCTGAAGTTCTTCTGTAATGTTCCATCTTCAGCCCATAGGCCATAGTGTGTCTGGCAGACTCTTCAGCAAAGTAGGAAACTTTAAACTGTCTTCTTGTATTGGCAGTTTGTCAGTCACTTTCCTCTGTGTCCTGTAGTCTGTCTGGCAGACTCTTCCACTAAGCAGAAACTCTGTAGCAATGTCCATCTTGAATCAGCAGTCACTTTTTTGTGGGTCCTGCATGTCCAGTTTATACAGCATAAAGTCAAACAGTCCAGACAAGAGCAGTATCTTGTCCAAATGGCTAATCTTGCCATATTGGAAGTAAACTTCATAGCAAGTTTCTTCAATGTCCATCTTCCTTTCTGACGCAGGTGGTGTTGCCAAGAGCAATTGTGCCTCATTGTCAAGAAAAACCCTAAACCATTTTAAATGCCATATTCTGTAGGTCTTTGAAAGGTTTGAAGAATGCCTATTTATCTTAAATACATGTCTGTATATCTAGAAATCTTAACTAACTTAACTATAAGATCTGACTATCATAGATACTATCTATAATCTGTATTGAATTATACATTACATTTCTAAACAATACCTAAACAAGAGGAGAAATATACATATCACAAAATTGACCTTAAATTGTAGCAATAAATGGAAATCCATTCCAAAACAAAGTAATCATAGCTATATCATAATCCCCTTTTTACCTTTAAAAAGACATTGGTTGTGATCATTAACCATTTATAACCAACCCCATTTAAATGAAAATAAACATTTATAAACAATATTTGGGAATTCGGGCGTCGTTCTTTCCAAACTACTTCCTGCTGGTAAGGGGCGCTGTCATGGGGGATTCTAAGAAGATGAAGAAATCCTGGCTGTAGTCTGCAAGGCTGCCTTGTCCCAGCTGTTTTGAATGTAGGATCACCTGGTACTTTGTTTCAGGGGGTCTGGCTTGCTCAAACCACATTGGTCTGGAAGGAATCTATAGCTTTTCATTTTCTGTGGAAACAAAAATAGAAATCCTTTTTCCCAGTAACTTGTCCTTAGACTTAAATTTTGAAGTCCAAGTATTTTTAAAATATATAAATTGAATTAATAAATAATATTAAATAAATAAATAAATAATAAAAATAATAAATTGAATTAATCCAGTAGCATTTCTTTTATCAGTTGTTATTTCCTCAGCAGTCAAACAATTTGAAGACAACAGAATAGTGTACAGTATCCACAGTTTTCTTGTGTGTTTCATTTTTACGTGGCTTTTTATTACTCTGTTTTTTTACTTTATATTTTTTTATTTTTTGAGACAGGGTTTGTCTGTGTAACTCTTATCTGTCCTGGAATTTACTCTGCATACCAGGTTAACTTTGAAATCACAGAGATCTGCCTGCTTCTGTCTCTCAGTGCTGGGATTAAAGACATGTGCCATCATACCCAGCTCCTTGCTGTGTTTTTAAAACCATTTTATTCTTTTTCTCTCCCAAGCCTATGTATATTTTAAAACACAATGTAAACCTTTAGAGGTTTTTCTTAATATGAATCTGTCTTTACTGTAAATCATTATCTTTTTCTGGCCACTAGTCTTTTATCTGGTAAACAACAACACTGCTAAAATGAAAGTCATAGTTGTTTCTGCCGCGGTTTATCAAAGATGGCTGCGGCTATTTTACCTCCAGCACTGAGAGCTGTGCTCACCGCCTTGGTCTATGCTGCATCCAGCAGCATGTTGCTGGCTTGGAGATGTGGTCAATGCTATTGCCAGCTCTCATACACACCATTAAGTTGTTAGCAGTGCTTCTTAAAAGCCGTGCGGTTTTTGCCGCTTATGCTGAGTCAGGAAACCTCCCTTAAAGAAGCTGTGTAAATCTTTGCTTGTCTCTCACAAAACAGAATCCAACCCAAAAAAAATGCTGTTAGCAAGAAGCTTTGCTTGTCTCTGTTCTTTTGCTTCTAAAACCCCTTTTTAAGCTTTTGTTAAATTTTAAGTGGAAGTTCTTATTAGCCCCATGGGTGCCATTTGTAAGGAGTAAGTTTTTCCTCCCACCGCTGGTCTTGTCCCGCCGCCACACCAGCCCCAAATAACTCACAGAGACTCTGTATTAGATATAATGCTGTTGGCCAGGTACTAGTTTCTTATCGGCTAGCTCTGTCTTAAGTATCAACCCATTTCTATTAATCTATGTATTTTAGAGTCTTTTACAGGTGTTGGTGAGAATACATCACAGTGCAGCCACTTAAGAAAAGAGTCTAGCAGCTCCTTAAAAACTTAGCCACAAGGCTGGTTTGTGTGTGTGTTGTGGGGGGCAAGAGGGGGGATCAAGGCATCTGCTGCCAAGCCTGATAACCTGAGTTTGATCCCTGAGACCCACATAGTGGCAAGAGAAAAATGACTCCTACAAGGCGTCCTCTGACCTCCATTTGCATACTGTGATACATTCAAACCAAAATATAATTTTAAATGTTTAAATTAAACATAGCATTGCTATATAGACATGATTGTCTACTCTTAGAGATGTACCCAAAGCACATGAGAATGAAACTTCCACCCCACATAAACTAAGGGACCAGGGCTCACAGAGACAGTGTTCACAAAGCCAGAATGTGAGAAAGGTAGGTGCAGTGATACAAGCAGCCCCACAAGGTCCCAGGTTGTGATTGCTTTTATAGGACTGGACAAAAGTCAAGGGACAGAAAGTCGGTGAGTGGTTGCCAGGACTATAGGGGAGCAGAATGAGGAGTGACGGGAGATGGGCACAATTTCCCTCAGGGGTGACAAAAAATGTCCTGGAATCAGACAGTGGTAACAATTTTACAACCTTGTGAATTTACTAAAAACACTTAATTGTAAACTTTAGAAGGATAGATTTTATGATCTATGTGGTGTGTTTAAAACAAAAACCCTAAAGTGAACAACCTCCCACAGCCTGTGTGTGTGTGTGTGTGTGTATACATGCGCATGCAGTGAATATATATATATGTATGTGTGTATAAATGTATATATATATACACATACATATATATACATATATATATATATATAGTTGTTTATGTATGCACATGTAAAGGTTAGGGGTCTACTCTGGGTGACAGGGTCTCTCATGAACCTGTCATTCACTCTTTGGGCTAGGTTGGTTAGTCAGTGAGCCCGACGATCTGCCTATCTCCACATTCCTACCTACACAATAGTCTCAAGACACCTGCTAAGAGTCGTTGTGCATGTTGACATAAAGCAGGTTGCCACCCTACAAGAGCAGCAATCGTGGATTGGATAGCACCTGAGTTCATGCACCAGCCTTTGCAGAGGTAACCTGGGAACTGCATGCTCTGAGAGCATCCTCCAAAGGCTTTCCTCCACACCAGGGGAGAGCAACAGTCAGCATCACTGAGACAGCTGGATCCAGACTTCAGTGAAATTACTCAGCACCAATGATGGACCATATGGATTAATACACAGGACTAAAAAACTATTTTGCAGGTGAGTAAGAAAGAATGTCAGAGCTAGCTAGAGGAAAAGAATGCTTCAAGTTTGCCCTGAGCATAACATCTGCATGAGCAGTCTTGGGGAGGAAAGCTGGTTCAGAGGTCAGACACAGGTAGGAGAAACCTGGAGGAGGGGCGTGGGGAAGATGAAATGCCAACACAGTGAGTGGAAAGTCTGGGATGAGACTGAAAGAAACCTAAAATTGTCTCCAGTTCCAGGCAAGAGTCATCATCTGTGGGGTTTTTAAAAGGAGCTCAACGGCTGATGAGATGGCTCAGCAAGTGAAGGTTCTTGGTACCAAGGATGATGACCTGAGTTCAGTCCTCAAGACCCACCTGGTAAAAGGGAAAAACCAACTCTCACAGTTATCCTCTGACCTTCACATGTGAAGGTGACTGTAGTGTGCGAAATACATGTGCAAACACACACACACACACACACACACACACACACACACGTAAAAACAAATTTAAAATCATGCTCAGCACCCTAGCAAAGATGTTCAATCATCAGTCCTCAGGTCACATGTGTCCCAAGAGAATTCATCAAGTCACAATGTCATAAAAAATAAATGTATTCTCACAATCCACAGACTGCAGGTTGAACACCCCTGGATTTAATATGTGGTCCAGGACAGCTCTTCTTAGTCTTGTGTGGCCAAAAGGCTACATACCCCTGCTCCACCCTCCAGAAATCTAGAAGCAACGATTGAGCTAGAATTCCAAGCAACAGATAGACATACTACAGTATCACCTCCTGGCACCCCATGTGTGTCTCTCCTCATCTCTGCTTAGGACACTTGGAGAAACACAAACGATCTGATGTACAGAAATATCCTCTAAGCCAAACTACCACCATTTCCAGAATCCCATCCTGCTGGGCTTACTATAAAAGATCATTACAGCAGGGCCTGGGAACTATTTACCTTCCCTCATAGAAGGGGATCAAGAGAATAAAGGAACTATCACTGCATATGGAGCCACGCCTCCCAACCAGTTGTATACAGTTCTGTCCTAGTTAAACATGGTCTTGGTGAAGGAGCCTGAGACTATGTGCTACGATGAGGGTACATACGGGGGTAGGGGTCCCATCTATGCAGCCATGGGGAAGTCATCATCCATGCTGAGCACAGATTTTCCAGTGTAGCTGTGGCAAATTACCTACACTCTTTCCCATAACCCCTCACTCATTGTCCTGCAACTATGGTGGAAATGTACCTCAGATTGTTACTGGGACCTTAGGAGGAGTAGATGCTGTTGATGCCTCTCCCAGGGAAGGGATTTTAGCAGCAGTGCTCATTAACTTTGAGTTGAGATATCGCTTTTTAATTTTTTAATACTTTTTAAAAGCTGTGTGTATGTGTGTATTAAGTGTGGTCTGTGTATATACATGTATGTGCAAGAATATGTATAGGCCAGAGGAGGTGTCTGTGTCTTCCTCCATTACTCTCTGCCTCATTCCTTCAGCGAGGCAGGGTCCTCTCCTCAACCTGGAGATGGCATTTCAGATAGGCAGCCAGCAAGCCCCTTTCTGTCTCTATCCCCAACACTGGGATTACAGGCACATACAGGACCACACCCACTTGTCACATGGGTTCTGAAATCCAAGCTCAGGTCCTCAAGCTTAAACAGCAAATGTTCTTACCTAC